CTTCCTTCCTTCCTTCCTTCCTTCCTTCCTTCCTTCCTTCCTTCCTTCTCATCTGCTCAGCAGTTCATTCATCCATCTGTCAAGTCATGGAGGCCACCCATGGCCGCAGACCCCATAAACCACAAACTATTGATAAGCAGAGAACTTTGTAGGGCCCCTACTCACAACTGCATACAAATTACCATGTCATGTTTGTTTAATAATCTCATTAAAACATCCGAGTTCCTGCTGCGTGCACGATCGGGTGTCAGGGACTGTGGGTGTGTGGAGGGGCCAGGCGAGGCAGATGCACACAGAATGACCTGGGAGGAGCTCACCGAGGACGCGGACCATGTTCCATGAAGCAGGGAAGAACCTCAGGGATTCCCTCTGAGTCTCAGAGACCAGGGCCCCGAGTCCCAGGGAAGGCCAGTGTCCTGCCCGAGATTGTGGGTAATGAGCAGTGGGCCCGGGGCTCAGGCCCAGCACTTGGAGGGCTCCTTCCCTCTAACAGGGGCAGTATAAGGGCTGCAGAGGTTGAGAGAGAGGTGTCCCAGCTGGAACCGCGTGCCCACAATCCAGGCGGAGGACGGGCCCAGAGTTAGGGGGCCTGGCGGGGGTGCTGGGTGGGAGGGCAGGCCGCTGGCGGGAGCCCTGGGCAAGAGCAGGGGGCCGTTTGCCCTCTGTCCTTGTCTGCTCTAACCACACCCCCCACCACGGGCACTAACCTGCAGGAGCCCTGGGCCCCGGGGCAGAGAGCCGGGGGCAGGGCTTGCAGGGCTGAGCATTCAGCTGCTCGCTGCATGAGTGCCGGCCCGTCTGCTGTGCACACTTTCACTGTGTTTTTATTTTCAGAGTAATTGTTGGGGTCCGCAGGACACTGTGGGGACGGGGACAGGCATGCTCTTGTATCACCCTATGACATCCCATCCTGATCCTGTTTCACAAAGAAGACGTGACTGACAAGCCCAGGCCCCTCCCTGCCACCCCCTGAGAGGACCCCCACCCACGACCGGCACCCAGAGCTGGGTGCTCCTCCCTCTGCCCCAAGGGCACCCCCACTGGACGCGTGCGTTCTACCTGGACATCTGCAGGCACCCGGGAGGGAAATGAGGCATCAAACGACTCAGCACCGGCTCCAGGTGGAGGCCCGGGGCCGGGGGGCGTCACAGGGTGGCTGGACGGCCCGCCCCCACCCTGCAGCCTGCCCGTAAATCCAGCTCCTGTGTCTCCGGAGCCGCCACCAGAGGGAAAGATCTGGTTTCCCTGCCCAGAAACGGCACCCAGTTGCACAGCCAGTGTGCCAGCGTCCTCTGGGGGTTCGGGGAGGAAAGGGCTGGTGTGGACTGGTGGGGGCAGGGGGCAGGGTACAGACTGAGGCCCCGCTGCTCCCCTGTCCACCCTGACCCAGGGGAAAGCTCACCACATGCTGCCCGGCGTGGCTCCTTCCGACCTGGGAGTTCGGGTATCTTGGCACAGTATGTTCCTGTGGTATTTAAATCAGGAGGTACTGATTTGCATCCGCAGCGTTTCCATACTCCGCGGCCATCTCTGTACCTTCCGTCCCCTCCCTTCCCGTCTGCTCCTCTCCAGTTTCAGGGGGGTTGCTCCTTCGGCCTCAGGGATGATGGAGAAATCAGTTTATTACACCGTCTTACCTAAGGCAAACCTGACCTCGGCACGGTGTGGGGCAAGGAGAGGGGGTCAGTCACCGTCTCCTAGCAGCTGCTGGGCCCCCTCCCCCAGGGAAAGGGGGCCTGGTTATTTGGGGCACCTGTCCCCTCCCCGGGGGACAGGGCCGGGCCACCACAAGACCCCGAGCCTGTGAGATTATCGCTTCACTGCTGGAGAGTTCCTCCCACTGGTCAGAAGGGCAGGCCCGGGCTCTGCGGGGCTGGTTAGGATGAGCGACCCAGGGTGCTGACGCAACGCTTCCAGATCCCTTAGTAAAGGGGCCCAGGGGAATCTCAGAGGACAGGGGCCCCAAACCTACCAGGCAGCATGCTGGGGGCTGTATCAGACCCCGGGAGCACCAGGGCCAGACGCTGGGTCTGCAGGCACTCGAGTGCTGTCTCGGTGCCCGCCGGTTTCAAGCAACAGTTTGTGGGTCAGCTGAAGCACACCTGGACCAGCTTGCAGCCTGGGGCCAGGGCTCCTGAGCTGGCCCGGGGGGCCACGGTGCCTGCCTTCTGGAAGTGGTTCCATCCGCAGCCTAGGATGTGGGAAGACACCTGACCGTGTTCTCAGCAGGGGGGCAGCACCCCTCGGAACCCTGGCTGGAACGGCTTTCTACACGTCCTCAGGGAATGAGGTTGCCACCTGCTGCAGCATCGTCAGGATCCACCTCAGTCTGGAGCAGGGCTACGGTCAGCCAGTGCCCAGCCCGGGGGCCAGAGCCTGGCCTTCCGCTCATGCTGACCCCCGAGGGCAGCCTTCTTTGCCCCCAGCACCCCGTCGGGTCCCCGCCAGGCATGGCAGCCTCGTGCAGCATCCCGGGTCCCCACCTCACCTGCACCAGAAGTGCTTGAGAGGAGACCCCAGCTGAGAGATCCCATCCGTGGCTCGGATGGCTGCCCCCCAGGGTGGGCACAGAGCAGCCAACAGAGACAAAAGCCTCAGAGTTGCAGCCCAGATCGGGGAGACCATACCCGACCAAATCCAAAGGTAGGGAGTCAGGTGGTGTGAAGATCTATGGAGAAAAGCCCACGTGGTGAGGAGGCCCAGGAAAAGGAGGTTGGAAGGAGTCCTCATGTTGTAATGGCAGTGGGGAGGGGCTCTCTGGTGGATCTTTGGAGTGGCTATTTTTATCTTAATGTTTTGTTCATAAGCTGTCGGTGGGAAGGGCACGTCAGGACCTTGACTAGATGGAGAGAGTGACTTAGCCTGAGGACATCCTCAGGCGTGGATGGGACATTGTGCCCCGTGTGACAGTGACATTAAGAACACAGACCAGCCCAGAGGACCACAAGTTCTTCCAAAAACACAGCAGGGCTTTGGCGGAGCTGGCCTGGCAGCCACAGGTCACAGATGGAGATCCAGGGAAGACAGTTACTCTTACGGTGGGAAGGGGGGTAGAGAGGCGTCCCTCCCCACCTGTGAAAGAAGAGGGAGAGGGTGGAGGAGCACGTGCAGACCCTGCAGAGGAGCCGGATCTGCAGCCCAGCCAAGGACAGTCCTTCAGCTCTGCTCCACAGTGGACCTTAGGAAGGGGCGTATTTAATGGTAATTCAGGAAAACATGCCTGAGAACAAAAAGAGCAAACAGTGAAGCAACATCCGGGAGGAAAGACCGAGGGCATCGCAAGAAAAACAACATGCACAGAGACCTGGCAGATAAATTGGAAGTGACAAGGACGGGCAAGTCTTCTTCTCTGGAATCACCAGCATAAGGAAGAACTCGAGATCATCACAGAAACAGACAGGGAAAATACAGACAGGATAATAAGCCAGGTGGTGATACCCACGGAGGGCACGCGATGAACTACTGCCCGAGTAACTGAGGCTGAGGTGAGCGGGCGGGGCATTTGAGGCGAACGTCAGGGAGAAGAAACCTCCCAGGGGTGAGTGAGCTGGCAACGTTATCCCAAAATCCAACACAGAGATAGCTCGAGATGAATCTTGATTAGGTTATTGGACCGTAGAGATAACAACAAAATAATTCTCTGGACGTGCACACAGGAACAGAAAACCGTGGTCACCCACGAGACGCAAGGATCAGGCCACCAGGCTTCCTTGTGGTCCCAGGCTCTGGAGCGGTGGGCGAAGCTCAGAACTCAGGCACCCGTGTTCACGGAGGCAGATGTCGGGATCTGGGCGCCGCCCGGGGTCAAGCAGGAGAACCGTGTCTGTGGTATTTTCAGGGGAGTCCTGTGACCTAAGCATTCTGTCATTTAAATATAGCATTTCTATTTAAAGTTTTTCATTGAAATGTGAGAATCAGCCATTCTCAAGCATGAAAGAACTTAGGGAGCAGGTTACCAAGGACAGCTTCTTGAAAACAATACATAATCTGAAAAAAAATACATAATCTGGGCAAATTAAAAGATGAAAAATGAAGACACCCAATTCAACACAGTATCGGTTCAGAAGAATGGATATGGGGTATGTTGACGCAAAATGAACAAACCTTTCAGAGTTCCTAAAAAAAGGGAGAGTTTTACTCCAGTCCAGGTTAGGACAGCTGCCTGGATACACAATCTTCATGAGGAAGGCTATGCTCGGGGAAGTGAACATTTGGTGTACGTTATACACAGTTTTTACATAAAAAGTTACAGATTATGAGAAGGTTGCAGACCTTATTTTAAGTTGCTGGGATATGCAAGGCTGTATGACTTTAATCTTATGGGAACCAGGGAAGTTGGTCCCTTCTTCTCTTGTGTTCAGAAGGCTCCTTTTTGGTTATTTTCTTTAATGAAGCAGATGTGCAATGTGTGTTCGGGGCAGAAATGGAGCCCATGCTTTGAGGTTTTGTGGAGTCATTTTGACCCTTGGTAAAAGTTAAAGGATAGCTTCCCTGAGAGCCCAGGAGCAGGGCCCACAAACATTAAAAGTTGAAAATTTCCTTTATCAGTTATACTCAGGGAAAGATGCATCAAACAGAAATTTTATAACCAGCTAGATTGCCTCTCAGTGTCCAATCACCCCCCAGACCTTCCCAGGAAGACACAGCCCTGAAAAACACCTGTTAGAGAGCCCAGATGAATAACTTGGTTGTGGAGACGGGGGTTGTGGGGGTGGTGGTGGGGGGGGGCATCCAGGCACAAGCAGTGAACATGGAGCCCTTTAAAAATTAGGACGGAATGAAAAATCCTGTGTGAACAATTGTCTTGGAACAACATTGACCTCTGCAAGAATGAAAGACAATTGAAAAAACATCAGCGGAGCTGGAGGCGAGGAGGACAAGGTGGCGAGAATGGTGTCCCCTTCCCTGTGAGGGGCCGTGGGTAGAACTAAAATGAAAGCATGCTGAGGGAAAAGCAACAATGTCAACCTAAGGTTTCAATGTATTTATTTTCCTTCTTCTTGGAGGTAATGTAGAATAATAAGAACAGAAATTCTGCAATCTCTCTTCTCTCCCTTTTTATCCTTTTAATGGGAGTAAAATTAAATCAAGATCTTGCTGCAAATGCCCTCAGTACCCTCGTCTTGCTTGGTACGGTTATTCCTATCGCATATCTGCCTGTCTACTCATCTCTGTGCATCTCTGCATCTCTCTGCCTCTCTACCAAGAGCGATCTGGAGTCTTTTTCCCATTGTGATGTTGTTTCTGGGTGATAGGGTTTGGGGTGATTGCTCACTTTCTTGTTTGTACCTTGGAGTTGCTCTAGTTCTTTGTGATAAACGAACATTACATTAGCGAGACCCGGGTCGTCTCTCTAAATAGAAACAGAGGAGCTGGACTTGCCCCTCCCCGCAGTGTGTCTGGGGCAGGGGGCCGGGGTGCTGGGTGGGGCAGCACCTCTAGCCATCGCGGCGCCTGCTGGGCACATGGCACCTGCCCGATAAGCTGCTGTCCACCGTGTTCAGGATGTTGGGACGTGGGGTTAAAGACCACAGCGGCCACGTGCATCCTGGGATGAGGGGGACGGTGGTCCCACCAGGTCCTCTGTCCCCTCGGGCTGCCCCCCATGCCCCATGTGCTTGCACACACCTGGGGGGAGGTGGGCGGAGAGGACCTCCAGATGGGTGTGAGGGAGGCAGGGGGTGGGCAAGGGAAGGATAGAATGCCAGGGGCACCTCTGTCCCCACCTTGGCACCTTGCAAACCCCTTAAATGTGGCGTTTACCCGGCCATCACCTCTGCTCTAGACGGCTGGCGCCCTGAAGCCAGGAGCCACCTCTGTCCCTCCACGTGTCTGACAGCCTCGAGTGATCCCTGCGCGGCGCTGGCAGGAACGAATGGGTTTAATTTGGCTGTGCCTGCCAGGTGCAAAGCCCCCTCCTCCCCTCTCCAATATGCAATCCTCCAGAGTCCCAGGCTCTTGCCGGAAACCTCGCCCCTCACAAGTGAATTGCTTTCATTTCCCTTTATGAACTGAAGCATGTTTAAATGACATGAATTTCCATGTGTTCCATCCAAAGGCAGCTTTTTTTTGGGGGGGGGAGGGGCTTTTCTGCCACATTTTTTTCCTTCTTCCAGGTTAAAGGAAACATCAGGAAAATGACAACTTGAGTGGTATTTACTACTTTGAACAGCGCAGGTTGCTTTTGGAAAGGGAAATGGGAGCTTCCAGAGTTTTGCTCCCAATAAAACTGCTGAAGCAAGGTCAAACATTCCCAGGAGGAGATAAAATGTTAATAAATGATGGCCATTGTCCCACATTTCTGAATTTATGCAGTACATCTATATGGCATCGTTCTCTCTTGGTTAAATTCAGTGAGTAATTTCTGACTGTATTCATTGCCGGAGGATATATTTCTTTAGAGTTAAATATCACTAGCTGTGCATTTTGATATGAGGAATGCGGGCTGCAATTTATAACCAACAAGATCGTCAGTGAATCTGGGCTGCGCGGAGAAGCAGGGCGCAGGAAATGTACGCGGCTCCAGTGTTTATTTTAGAATTCATTTGTGAGGAAACATCATTTCAAATTCCACTGTCAAGTTCTCATCCGGGATTGCTCATTCCTTCAGCAGACATCCAGGGGCGGGCAGATGCCCGGCACCGGGGCCTCTGACACCCCGTCACCCGCCTCTGCTCGCCCGCGGGCTCGCTCCCTTCCGTGGTCGGATGAAGGGGTGGCCGTGCAGCGTCCTGACAAGGGTGAGGCGTGATGCCCGAAAGCCCCCGAAAGTGCACAGGTGAGGAAAGAGGCAGCAGTGGGCTGGGGGTGCCCACACCTTTCTGCTGGGGGCCCAGGGAGTCCCAGGCTTGCTGGGAGCTGCAGGGGCCGGAGACCAGGGTTCCAGAAGGGGCATGGGGGAGCTAGGTCTGCAGGAATTCTTCCTCTGGAAGCACCTCCCCTCCCCTCCCTCCTCCCTCCTCCTCCCTCCTCTCCTTCCT